TTTTTTTTTTTTTTTTTTTTTTTTTTTTTTTTGATTTTGGGGTTTTCAGTATGCCAATTTGATTTTAGGGCAGTGCGCGGCTTTCTAGCTGCTGAACCATTTCGTCAGTTCATCCAAACTAAATACTTTTATCGATACTTGCAGTGGAAATGGCTTGAAAAAAGGCCGGTTGACAAACGTACATTTCGCCTTTATCGGGTTCTCGGAAAAGGAGGGTTTGGTGAAGTTTGCGCATGTCAGGTCCGGCTCATCCGGCCTATTGTCTTTGAGTTATATGGATTATTTGTCTCAGAATTGCATATTTCACGTAATAACCATTTCGTTTTAGGTTCGCAGTTCTGGCAAGATGTATGCCCTTAAAAAGCTTGAGAAAAAACGAGTGAAAAAAAGACACGCAGAAACACTGAGCCTTAATGAAAAACAAATATTGCAAAAGATTAATTCCCCGTTTGTGGTTTGTTGATGTTTTTTTTACTTGTTACTTCTTGCGCAATTTTTCGGGAACTTAGACGACAAACAGTTTAATCTGGAGGTGAAAAAATGAAATTTATTATTGATAGTAGGCATCTTGCAGTTAAGATCTTTATACTAACTGTCGTTTTTCCATAAGGCAAAAGAGGCGTATTGTAAATTTTTAAATGACTAGGTTTTTTAATATTCCTCCTTAATTAAGCGAGTCGAAAATCATTCTTCCCGCTGAAAGCCAATAATTATTACTCATTTTTTGGCTTGTAAATTGCGCCGCTATGAATTCCGCGTCTTATTGAGCTAAAATGTTGGCTACTATTATGCTATGAGAGTGGATTGAAATTTTAAGTGGTCATTGTTTTAGGTTAGCCTTGCGTATGCATACGAAACGAAGGATGCTCTCTGTTTGGTTTTGACCCTCATGAATGGAGGTAGGCGACGCTTTTGATTGGGAAGGGTGCAGTAATCACAAGTTATTGTTAACAAACAGAAGAATTAGCGGTGCTTATTGTCTTTTCATTAGTTTCAAGAATTATGTTCTTTACTAAAGATTTGCATTGCCTTTGGTTTTTTTACTCTCTGGAATGTATTTGAACAAGCCCTTTTTTCGGTGTTATACGTTTCCTTATTCTTAGTTCATTTCCCCACTTTTCTCATTGCACTTTAGGTGATTTAAAGTTTCACTTATATAACTTAATGCCTGGGGGCTTTGAAGAAAGACGAGTTCAGTTCTACGCCGCTGAAATTACGCTGGGTTTGCAACATTTACATCGAGAACACATCCTTTATCGGGATTTAAAACCCGAAAATATACTTTTGGATGATTATGGTAATAATGAGTGTATTCATTTTTCATCTTTTCTTTTCAAAATTTTTTTTTAATTTCTGAGTGGTCTAGAGTCTGCTCTTTTGTGCTTTGTTATTTTTCACTAGCAAATAGAATTGTCAACTTTAGGTTGTTTTTATTAATGTTGTTGGCCGATTTCGTCTGGGTAAAAGATATAATTTGAAAGCAACTCTTTTTAAGAAATATTCTTTAAACAGAGCCTAGAGAATTTTATCTTTTTTTCTTTGTGTTTTTTTCCAAGGATAATTTTTATGGATTGTTTTAGGGCACGTTAGAATATCTGATCTTGGACTTGCAGTTGAGTTAAAAGATAATGAGCCTATTAAAGGAAGAGTTGGCACCGTGGGATACATGGGTAAGTGGGTTATTTTTGAACTTTTATTTTAAGTTTACTTCTTCTTTGACTTTTTATGTGATCCGTATTTCTAGAAATTGTATATTGCTGAAAGTTGTTGATATTGGTTTACCCTTTCCGTCCTTTATTCCCTTTGAATAAAGTTAAAAGTTTGTCATTTTTTCTGCGTAACGTCACCTTATTTGTAGCACCAGAAATAGTAAAAAACGAGAAATATTCATACGGAGTCGATTGGTGGGGACTAGGTTGCCTGATTTACGAAATGATTGAAGGCAAGGTAATTACGTACGTTGTTGTTCTTGTTATATCAACTCCCTAAGGATAGCTGAAGTACAAGGAAGGCATTTTTTTTGACTTGCAATCTTTAGGCACCCTTTCGTCAGAGAAAAGAGAAGGTGAAACGAGAGGAAGTGGAAAGGAGAGTGCGAGAAGAACAGGAAAGATATTCTGACAAATTTAGTGAAGCGGCAAGAACATTGTGCAGGTTAGTTTTTTCCCTGCTGACTAGTGCTTTGTAGGTTATGATGTGTTTTGCCTGAGTTTTTTATAGTATTCTTATGATCTATTTCCAGAGGGCTTTTACATAAAGAGCCTTGTTTCCGATTAGGGTCAAGGCGTGTTGGACGGCCTGAAGAGGGAGCGGAAGAGCTGAAGTCTCATGCATTCTTTACGCAAGGCGATAGCGAGACTGGAAGGGAATCAGTACCATGGAGGAAGATGGAAGCTGGGAAGGTCCGTGCTTGATTCTTTTTTTCTGCTAGTTTTTACTGCCCTCTTGAAATTTTTTTTTTTTTTAATTGCTGATCTGGTTACTGGATCGGAAGGACGTCTTCCGATTATTCATCTTTTTGCTGTCTCGAGATCCTAAGCCCAAAATTTTCAATCTTATATTAGGTAACGCCTCCATTTTGTCCCGATCCTAGAGCTGTTTATGCCAAGGACGTTCTTGACATTGAACAGTTCAGCACCGTGAAGGGCGTGCGTCTTGATGCTGTGGACAATCAATTCTACGCTAAATTTAATACAGGACGAGTTTCTATACCATGGCAAAATGAGGTGGTTCAACAAGAGATTGTCTACCAATCTTTGCTTGTTTTAGTGATGCTCTGGGACTTAAAATAATCTTTTACTCTCATGTTATTCAACGGAAACTGATTTTTCATCTACGCATTTTCTGTGTTGTGACTTTAATTATGAAAGTGGGCACCATCATCTGTGCAATTAAAATGTCATTCATTCATTTCTTTTCGGTTAGAAGCATCATGTGAAACGTTAACGGTAATTTATAAAATCTTTTAAGTAAATAAGTTTTTATTACAAGTTTTAGATGATTGAGACGGAATGTTTTCAAGAACTAAATGTTATGGAAATTAATGGTGTGTTAGTGCCAGACCTACGTATCGACTCAACGCATGTTTGTGACAATAACTCACATCCTACATCAAGCACCAGTCATAAGCAAGGATTTTTCAGTCGATTATTTAAACGTGAAGTACGTTGTAATTGCTAACGTATTTAGACTGGAGATTACTTTTTAAGCGTTCCTATGCTTGTATGGGATCAAACTTTTGTCTACTGCTTTGGATGTAATGAACATAATAGTGTTGTTCCTATTGATGCTCTATGATCAGCTCTAATTATTACTTTATAGTCTCGTGACCGTGCAGTCAAGCTGCGGCATCTGAACTGCACATTTTTGTTTTGTTGTCGAAATCAAATAGTTTTTTGGGAATTGCGTCTCTGAATCTTATGAATTTGGTTCTTTTTTTTGAGTCTTAAAACCCTTCTTTCAAAGGAAATTCTTAATTGCATTATTTTTAGCGACGTGATATTATTGCCATTTGATTTGTAATTGTGTTAAGGAGTTTTCTAGTTTTTAACAGAGTTATTTTATAAATAATAGTTGCTCTGAACTTTTCTTTGTTAGATGCTCATTCTGCAAGAATTTTTTACGGTTGCATTTAAGTGCCAGATTTGTTAAATGTATATTATATATTTTTCATGTGGAGAATTTTTTACTTGACATTTTACTAAGTATTGTTTTGTTTGAAGTTTTTTCAAATCTTATTCTCTCCAAAGTTGTTTAGGTGATTGCAAAAATAAATTATTTAATTGATTTCACTTGGGAGTTGTCACAGCGGCTTGGAAGAAGAGTGGAAGAGTAACGAGAGAATTTTTCTTTGAGAGATTTTAGGAAGAGTTGATGTGAAAGAATGGCAAGTCGGTTGGAAGGACAAAGGTTTCTTTTTGTCAGTTCTCGATGTCGTCTCAACCAATAGGACAATAAATTGAGTCAGTGTTTGTCTGCAAATTGGTGTGTTTTGTTTGGTGTTATTCCAAAATTTGTGTAGAGATTGCGTAAAGACTGTTGATTATGGTCACTTCAAAAAGTGCTGCTGGATCGGAGCAGTCATTTTTTGTGCAGTTTTTGTTGATCTTTACTTTTTACTACAGATTCTTCTGTTAACATCTGACACATTTTCTTAACTTTTATTATGGTGTTTTTACAATAAAAAAGGTCCCATTGTTGGAAGCCCGGATAAGACAGTTAAGGTTTCTTTTTGAAGTTTTGTTTGAAAACAGTTTGTTTTTAAATGAAAGTTTTTAAAAGTTGTAAAAAAATGGAAGGGAATTATGTTGTTGGCAAGATGAAGAAACGTGATAGTAAGATCATCTTTGTGCAAATCAATATTGTCGTTAGATGAACGATCAGTTATTGTTTTACTTTTCTTATTACTACTACTGCTACTGTGATCATCGTTATTGCTTTTATCAGTTAGTTAGCTGATTGAACGGAGTGACCGATTAACTGAATAAATGAGTGAATGAGTGATGAAAAAACCGATTAGACTATTCTTAGCGATTGATCAGTCGGGCTAGCTGGGGTTAAGTTTTGAAATATAATGGGATAACAGTTAATAACAGGAAGCTTAAATTTTGTGTATGGAAAGCGCAGGTGGTAGCTTGAACAAAATTGTTTTGATTAAATTATCAATCTAGATTTCCTTTTTTTCTACATCATTTTTTTGTATGGTTTCTTCTTGCATTATTGGTAAAACTAGCAGAGCAGCAAATACGTAAGTATTGAAATTTTTGAGGCGTTATTCAATTATTCACGAATATTTTCGAAAGTTATTGTTGATTATCGCCATTCGGTTACTAGAACTTCTAAAACTGAGCAGTAAGAGGTATTTTAGTGGTTACTAACAACACTGACGGTCACTTATCATTGGATTACTACATGCAGAAAAACTTGAACGATCAAATTCTGAACTAATTGCTATTTGAATGAATCATCCTGGATTGTCAAATTTACTATACGGTGAACAATAACTGTATATTACTGCAAATGTCGTTTGGGAAAATTACAGTTGACTGCAAGACAGATGAAAAAATAAAAGTTGACTGGATTCTAAGAAAACATTGGCAGTAAAAAAATAACTACAACCTTGACAACGACAACACAGCATGGGATTCAGTCATACCGTTTGGTCGTCATATTACCTTACTTTAATACCAATTACAGCTATTCTTGGCAATATTCTCGTAGTTTTAGCTGTTCAGAAGAATAAATGTTTACAGAACCTAACAAATATTTTAATTGCTTCATTGGCAGTAGCAGATTTTTTGGTAAGTTTTAGTTTTTACTATTTCGCCATTAACAGTATTATTGTTTAAATATTTTTATATGTTGTCTTAATTTAGTTTTAATTTTAAGGATGATTTTTGGTGGAAAAAGTAAACGATTTTAAAAGACGATTTTTTTTTTTTCACTAATCTTTTAGTTGTATAAATAATATTTGAT